CTGTCCCTCTGTCCCTCTGTCCTCTACAGGGACCTGTTGGTGACTCTGGCCCTCGGTCAGGTTCTGTCTCTGTTGATTTGTGCCATCGGTTTAACCAGTAAGTTTCTGGCTGATGACTTTCACGCCAACACTCCGGTGTTCCAGAGCTTCCTGAACTACATCCTGCTGTTTCTGGTCTACACCACCACGCTGGCAGTCAGACAAGGTAAACACTGACCCCACGTAGAGACACGTTACTACGGGGAGGACATTTTAAAAAAAACTCCTTCAGAACCACAACCAGGCTCCGGTGCCTCGTCTGGTTGGGCTGAGGGCAGACAAACAGCACAAAGTTTGGAGGTTGGTGAGGACAGAAGCTGCAGGTCAGAGACGTGAAGCTGGGAGCTGGTTCCACAGCTGAGGAGCTGACAGCTGAAGGCTCTGGAGACTCTGGAGCCACCAGTAGACCTGCAGTCTGAGAGCAAAGGGCTCTGGTAGGATGATCCGGTACCTGCTGAACATCCATCCACATATCTATCTATCCATATATCTGTATATGACTACATATTAACATGTCTGTATATCTTTATATTCAAATATGTGTGTGTATCTGTTTCCATATGTCCACATAGGTACAGTGTGTATCTTTATATTTAAACATCTGTACAGCCAATGTGTGTCATACAATCGATTCTAAACATCATGATGCAGAACTGATGCTTTCATATGTTCATTATGTTCCCTGTCAGTCTCTAATTTGTCTGTCTGTCTGTCTGTCTTTGTGATTTCAGGAGAAGGGAACTTGCTGGCCATTTTGAAACAGCGCTGGTGGAAATATATGATTCTGGGTTTGGTGGACATTGAGGCCAACTATCTGGTCCTGAAGGCGTATCAGTACACAACTCTGTCCAGTGTGCAGGTCAGTGTGAGTCAGTACGACACATACACTCAGACTCTCTCACCGCTGATACAAAAACAAAACTCTCACAGTTTCCATTCTCAGTGACGGATCTACAAGAGAAGTCTGTCTGACAGAACACCATTGACTCAGATTTAAGGTCCCTGGATGCAGTGAGTTTTTAAACTGCATGAACACGCAGCTTCACATGAGCAGCAACAACAGAGAAACTCTGCAAACGAAGATTTAGCTGTATGAAAAATGTCACCACAGAAAGGATGATGTTTGATAAAAGCAGGTTTTCTGTTGGCAGCACAGAGACCTGAATGAATCCAAGGATGGAAACTTCTAGATGTCTTTGTCAGAGTTACACGAGATGAGAAAAGTTTTAAACTTTACTTTTCAGCTTTTAAAAAGATTATTTTTAAAAATTTTCTCTGCAGATGGACTTGACTACAAAATCATCCTCAGTCGCTGTAGAGTGAATCATTGTTTCCAAACAGAGTTAATAAATCATCTGCTGAAAATTCCTGGATNGAGGAGACAACATGAGCTCTAGGGTTTAACATCTGAGGAAACATGTCGGACATGATGGTTCCAGGTTTTCATATTTCCTTGTCTCTCTGGTCTCCATCGTCCTGCTGACAGAAGACGTCTCTGAGTTCTCTCTCCTTCTTGATGTTCTGGTTCCACAGAGCTGCAGGACTTCATGTTGCAGAGAAACATGGACCTCAGTGAAGAAACATGAGACAGGAGATAAAAACACCCAGAAAATGCTGCTCAGGGTTAAATCTGTGACCAAAGCTCCAGAATGATAAAGATAAGATAAACTTTATTGATCCGTCACCGCGACAGCAGCTGGATACAGACGAGGCTAAAAGAAGCAGGACAAGAATTACAAAGATTACAATAAGGCTAAAAAATGAAGATCTAGCAATAATAAAAGTCTCATGGAGACATTATAGCACACATGGTGAGTCTACATGCATTCATATATATATATAGAGAGAGAGAGGGAGCTGTGACAGATCAGCGTTCTGTTCAAAATGAGTCAAACAGGAGAAAATAGAAAGAGAGGTTGTGATGGACAGCAGGGGGCGCCGCTGATCTCTGTGTGTTTGTGTGACTGTCCCTGTCCTTCCTCAGCTCCCTGCCGTCCCACAGAGACGTGTCCTACGACGACGTGCTGGACGCTCTGCAGCGATACGCCTCCTGCCAGCAGAGACTCGGACAGTGACGAGTCCTCGGAGTGGACGAGTCTCTTGTTGACACTGAGACGATTTAAAGACTCCAGGAGACGCTGACTTTCTGCCTCCAGCTCTCCCATTACAAAGTCACATTCCAGAGTTGGACGGAGACACCAGAGGACTGTCTGACTGTACAAACCCTGTTCTGTCCTCGCTGTCCGTCACTCTGTCCAGCTGCTATTTACTGCTGAAGACGCCGTCACACAGAAGAATGGAGGCTTTGTGTCCGTCCTGAAAACAGCTGGTCTCAGGCAGGAAGTGGAGGACAGACGGGTCACGATGTGTAAATACGAGGAATCGTGTCTCGGTGTTGGTCCTGCAGTCGTGTGTCCATATTTGTGCTGCTTCATCCACAGGTTGTTTCAGGTTCTGTTGGACTGAACAAATAAAGATGCGCTCTCTGCCCACTCTGAGAGAACCTTCACTCACATCAGGCTGTTTTTGTTGAACTCAGACTGTCGGTCGGTTACAGAATAGTTATCTGATTAGTTTATGAGTTGACAGTAATCTGATGGAGGATGAACTGATGACACAGTTCTGGTTCTGATCGGGTTTCTGCAGGGTTCATGAAGCTAATATGAAGATGCTGAACAGGTGAATCTGATCTGAACCAGGATCAGTGTGTGCACACTGACCTGAGCTCTGGGAACATGCTGATCAATAAAAGCTGACAGGTGAAGGTTCATGTGTGACTCTGTTGCAGGACGACAGCATGAAGCTCTTCTGGTGTCGTCCTGTTGCCTGAAGCACAGGAACTCTCCTGAATGCAGCAGTTTGTTTGGTTTCTGCCGTGAAAAGAATCTGATTGATGAGGGAGAAACTCTGTTTCTCAGGTGGTAGAGGTGGTTGTCCTCCAATCGCCATGTTGGCGGTTCGATCCCCTCCACAGTCGACGTGTCGTTGAGCAAGACACTGAACCCGAGGTTGCTGCCAATGGCAGGCAGCAGCTTGCATGGAGCTCTGTCACCGTTGGTGTATGAATGTGTGTGAATGAGAAACACTGTAAAGCGCTTTGGATCAGAGCGCTGTATGAGTGCAGACCAAACACCAACAGTAGAAACGAAACTGAAGAAGTGGATCTGAGTCAGTTTCACCTGCTGCTGGTGTTGTTTCTCACAGCGGCAGGGATTTTACCTGCAGGTCAACACAGCAGAAAGAAAGACGCAGGTTCTGTCAGCAGCACCAACCAGTGCTGGGATGCTCTTTGCTCAAAGACTGTTTCTGGGCCTTCAGCTGCCTCTCATGGTCTTCCTCAGAGGATGGAGCTCTGGTGCCTCCACAGGTCACCTGAAAACACCTGAGCTGCATCCATCTGCTGAAGAAGACCATGAGGAGTGATTAAAATCTCCACAAGAATATTTTTTAGCACATCAGTTTTACTGAAGTTTGTGCTTAAAAATCACCTTCATTGTTTCATTTGGCCTCTTTTAGGACAAGGTCACGTCTCAGCTCAACACTGACTCAAATCCGGCTTTTCTCGTGTTCCATGAAGGATCTAGAGGAGGAGTGTGACAGAACATCATCTCCTCTGAGTTTTTAAACTTGATGAACATGCAGCTCCACATGAGCAGCAGAGAAACTGTGAAAAGGAAGATTGGGCTGCGAGAACAAAGCAGCTGTGTGGAAATGTTTGATGAAAACATGCTTGTGTCTGCAGCTGCTGTTGGTTTGATCATTTCAATCAGCAGCACAAAGATAAAAACAGTCTCTGATGTCAGACTTCCACCATCAACAGTAGTTCAGTTGTTCAGGTCATCTGCTGAAAAGTCCTCAATGTTTCCAGTCACAGAAAGCCTGAACTCCACCGTGTCCGTTTATAGTGAACTGGTTCCGGTTGAGTGTTGATGTTTTGTGCTGCAGCCTGGTGGTGTCTCTACAAAGAAAAGCTTCACTTTGAAAAGTCGATGAGCTCAAGCAGCAGCAGAGTCTTTGGTGTGTTTCAACATGTGTACGATCAAGCTGAGACATTCTGACCCACAGACCTTTGCAGCAGTTCCATCACTGCGTCTCTTATTACCAACAAGTGTGAGACGGATGGTTTCACTCTGCAGCCTTCAAGGGTTCAGCTTCAGTCCATGATCAGGTCTGTACGAAGCTGAAGGAAGCAGCTCCAACTCTTCAGGAACTAGTTCATGGTTTGGAACGCAGCGGTGCTGTGATGTCAGGGGCGACATGGAAGTGTCCCTCAGGTGCTGCTGGGACCAGTCTCACCTCGTTACACTTAGAACCTTCAGAACACTTGTGTGTGGTTCTTCTGTTCCTGGTTAACACTGTAAAATGTTGGCTCTGCTTGTGACCTTCCAACAGTCTGCTTCAGACTGGGGTTAGCCCAACCCTACCGGGTCGCTGTTTTCAGTCCAGAGTTCTTTGTTCTCAGCTGACTGAGAACCCAAATCACTTTATTAGGAACTCACAGTGAGTCTCAGTTGTTTCTGAAAACGTCCTCTGAGGTTCTGCTCCACATGAGTCATCACTTCATTCAGGCTGCTGTTCTGCCAGATCTAGAAAGTTCTGCTTGTTCTACACCTGACAGGACTCACTGGTCATGGACCCAGTTTGTGACATGGAAACACTAAGAAGGTGGTTCTACGGTCAGGGTTCGGTTCAGGTTCAGCACCTCTCAGACAGGCCCTGTGACTGCACTCAGAACAAAGGTGATAACTGGAGCCACAAGAACCACAAAGAAAACAGTTCTGCTGCTGTTCCTTTAAAGAACCCATCAACACATCTGAACCTGAGTAAAAGTCGAGTCTTTAAAGAGACATTTTCCAGACAGCTCGTGATGGGTCCACCTGGTTCTGCTTCAATATCAGGACCTGATGCTCAGCCGGGTCATTTTTAGGCAAACAGTACAATGATAAAAATAATAATAACAATATAAAAATGTGCATCATTTCTGGTTCCTTCCATTAGAACACGTGTCAGATTTTGGGTTCTTCAGACAGAACATGTTCTCAGACACCAGTTTGGGAACCGTGATGAGCATTTCTCTGGTTTCTGGTGTTTCATCACCAAATGATTCATCAGAATAAAATCATGACTTCATGCTGTCACCTGAAACCCACCAAAGAACTAAAACATGAAGAACCATTAAAGAACCACAGGAAGTCAGTAAAGAACCTCTAAACCAAGATGTCCTTCCTTTTGGCTTTGAAGAACCGGAGGTAGTTCTGAGGAACCCTGGTGTTGTTCTGTCTGGTTTGTTGTCTTCAGTAGAAACGGATCAGATTCATGTGCAGGTGACTCCATGTGACTTTTTCCCAAAACAAAGAAAGACACAAACAGTTCGGTCCAAACAGCAACTGAGTCTAAACGTGTAGTTAATGTGAATGAAGTTGGGCTCTGAACATGTGAACAGGACCGAGTACCACCTGGTTCTTCTGGGTCTCTCTACGAGCTGTGCTGGTCTTGCTCGGTCCCTCTGAACTGAGCTGCTGCCGCTGATTGGCTGCCTGGCTCAGTCAGCAGGTGTCCAGGTGTTCCGCCCAGACAGCTCGATGATGCTGATGCTTTCCTCCAGTTGTTGCCCTCCGTCCTGCTCCGCCCTCCGGAGGATTCCTGCAGCAGGATGATGAAACGAACGCACCTCGGAGCTCCGACCTGCAGACAGAAGCAGATCCGCCTGTGAGGGACTTTCCTCCGCAGTCAGCTGACCTCCGCCGCCGCTCCTCCGTCCTCGGCGCTCCTCCATGTTCCAGGTGTGACTCGGAGCTTCCCGACGTCCGTCCCCGAACAGATTACGTCTTCATCCCGGGAGGCTGAGTGAAAGGACGCCCCCCTGCGGCACCAGCAGCGCTCTTCATTACCTGCTGGAGCCGCTGGTTTTTCATCGGAACATCCAGCCGCGGCTCTGCTCCACATTCACGGCCCGTGTCTCCGCTCCGTGTCCCGGTGAACCGCAGCTCGGACACCGGGAGGCGCAGCTTCTCCGCCGCTGAGGTGAGCCCGCTGCCCGCCTGCTCGGCCCCCTTCTCCGCCGGTCCTCGGAGCACAATGCGCTGATTTGCGCTCCGTGGAAGATGATTTCTGTGGTGTCCACGGCGGAGAGCGCTCCCCGAGGAACCGGCACCCCGGAGCCGAGCCTCTACCGCCGCATCAGGAGGCTGTTCACCCGGTAAGCAGGCGGAGGTCCTCCGTTTACATTCAGCCCGCATCACACTGCAGACAGCAGCTACCGGAGAGACACACAACAGACACACAATAGACAGTAAACACACAACAGACACACAACAGACACACAACAGACACACAATGGACAGGAAACACACAATAGACACACAACGGACACACAACAGACACACAATGGACAGTAAACACACAACGGAGACACAACAGACACACAATAGACACACAACAGACACACAATAGACACACAACAGACATACAACGGACACACAATGGACACACAATGGACAGGAAACACACAATAGACACACAACGGACACATGCAGACACACAATAGACACGCAACGGACGGCAGACACACAACAGACTCACACAGACACACACAGACACACAACAGACACACAACAGACTCACACAGACACACAATAGACACACAATGGACACACAACAGACACACAACAGACTCACACAGACTCACACAGACACACAACAGACACACACAGACTCACACAGACACACAGCAGACACACACAGACACACAACAGACACACACAGACTCACACAGACACACACAGACACACACAGAC